GAACGAAATCGAGAATATAAATTCCCATTATATCATTCTGAAACTTAAACTATCAAAACACAAAATCAATCCTTGCACGAAGCTAGGATCGAACACACGAACTTGATCTTTGCAGACGAACTGCAATAAAAGTTGAGTTCTGGTGGAGAAAATTGAGAATTACGAATTACATTCAAACCAGCAAAAATAATTTGAGATCCAAAGGGTTAAAAGGGTACACAGTTATTGAATAACGCTACTTTGTTTACCTAACCTATGTTTGTGTGTGTCATTGTGAAAAAACCCTGCGCTTTCCCTCCTTTAGAATGAGAAATTTCGACGCATTCTCACATAGTTGAGATAAAGTGCGTCAATAAAAAAAGGTGCACATTTATCGTTGAAGGAGTGTAGTATTTCGTTCTGCTTCCCTTTTCTTTATCGTCTTCCATAACTTCACCATTGTGTTTAGCGTTTGCAATAATATATAACTCCATTATCGAAACATATATTCGTGATAGATGTCGGCTTGTTATCGCCGCCATTTCTTTCTTTTATTATAAGTGACGCGTATGTAATGATTTCAGATTAATCAAGGTGACTGTTTTGGAAATAGTGCGCAATACTCCTACAATCAAAGGTTTATTCCTCTATTAAAAAATTCCATCTGGCTTTTAAACAATTTCTTCCACTCACTGCTACTTTACAAACATGGATGATAATGATTACTCAAGTATAGTAAACAAGCGCGCTGTTGACTAACCTTATTCCATGAGTGCTCATTGTTTAGATATGTATCATGATATAGGTTGCAATAACGATCGATTTTTGATGTTTGATGACGACGCAACTGGACCTATCAACAAAGATGTTTCTTTTGGAGATAATTTCAGTCAGGGTAAGCTCATCATTTTACATGCGATGTTAGAGGTTTAAACAGTAAATCGTTCTTTCAAAAACTTATAGAATCAGAAACATCTATTCTGAATAACCCATTAGCTGATACATCGATTCCTTTAATGCAAACAGATACAAGTTCAACTCGTGACTTATTCTGGTTGGATTCACTTGGTAAGTGAATAATATATCACTTTATTTACGATTGCTGTATATTCTTACTTTGTCATTTTAGTTGTGCCGGTGCTGAACGATAATCCAGCAGGTGCAGGTGCATAAGCCTCTTAAATGTTTTTCTTATTTCAACAAATTCAACCTTTAGATTCTGTTGAGAAGATTTTGTCAACCGGCTTCGTCAACGAAATAAATGAAGAGGCATCGTTTCAGCCAAGGAGTAATATCACATTTGACGGTAAGATATTTTCAGCATCGGAAAAGCATGTTCCATGCATTAATATGAAACAATTCAGTTGTTCATTGGACGATTTTCTAGAGATATTTGGCACTGATAATATCAGTCAGCAAATCGCTGCTTATCCTGTTGAGCCACAGCTAGAAGTATCATCAACATCAACAATAAGTCAAGATGATAACTGGAAACTATTAGAGATCGTGAGTGGTGAAATGTTTTGATGTCGAAATCTTCGCTATTATTGGTTCTTATCACTTTGTTTTGATTCTCCTGTTATGCTTTATTAAGGAACCTAGCATAAATGGTACGGATGTAGAAGAACAACTAAATACTGACACTATCAATCTGTTTGCCGATTATACGATGACAATGGAAAACCAGCCAGAAAGAGAGTATCATGTACGGTATCCAAGTGACATGAAATCGCGAAGTCCGCGATATTTGCACGGTTTGAGGAACAATGCAGATAATGAGAACAGACATAAATGTTTTCCGTCTGTTCGGGTAAGTAATGGCCTGATTGATTGGTCTTGATGGAAAACGTCGAATGGAAGAATGTCAAAAGGGAAAAATGTCGAAAAGAAACTAGGAAAGGAAAATGTCGAAACTGAAAATGTGCGGAAGGAAAATTTCGAGCTGTCGAATAGAGGTGTTCGTGACTTTCGAACTCTTGCTCTCTCGAGGGTGCGACGAGGGCTCGGAAGTATCCCTCTTGGCGAAGGCCGATCGAAAGCATATTTCCGAGCACTCGAAGTACCCCTCGAACAACTGGTTGAGTACGAAATGTATTTTCAGTTTAGAAGAATGACTAGGAGTTTTAATAAAATAAAACACGCTAAAACAATCTTTTATATTGGGCGTGGCAGGCTTCATTTAAGTGCTATAGGCACCTTTCTACATTTTCCAAGGGGGAAACAACTGACTCTAGACTCTACTGCATCAATTGACTCCACTTGACCCCACATGACTCCAAAATGTAATAGAATTGTGGAGTCACATGTAGGAATATAACAATTCGTATCAGTTTTTAAGAAATGGTCGAATCATAGAATCAATCAATTCATCCATTGCTTATTATTACTCAAAAATACTCATTGATCATCAATCATTGATGATCAATGAGTACTTATGGTTCCCAAAACGGAACAGTTTTATTCTGTTACCAGGCTTAAATTCCCACAACAGAACACAATTTCTCTGTTATTAGGAACCATAAACATTGGCATTATGCTAATACTAATTCAATGCTAATGCTAAGCCAAAACCCTTCAACATGAGTAGTTATGAGTAATCACTTCATTATTTGCCAGCAGTGTGACAGTTAAAATGTTTCACGAGTTCTCTAGAATTGGAACTGTAACAGTCCTAGTGGTGGGTGCACAAGGGGTAAATAGCAGACTCCATCTGATTCCACACGACAGGGTCCCATTGTTTCCTCCTTAGGTGGGTGGGCAAGGGTCAAACAGCAGACTCTGGGCTTCACTTGACTCCTGATGACTCCATACGACTGGAGTCAAGTGGAGTCAGTTGTTTCCCCCTTGACATTTTCTCTGTCGACATTTTCCCCTTCTGCGTTTTCCCCATTTACATCTTCTCTTTTTACATTATCCCTGTCGACATTTTCTCTTTCTATATTTTCCTTCTTTTTTTCGATATTTTTCCATTCTACGTTTTCCGTCAACCCCAATTGATTAATGTGTAAGAAATATATAAAAAGAATTTCTTTTCTTAAGATACCTGATATCCGTCATTTGATACCGAATGGTTGGCATGCTTATGTCCGTGTTACTCGGATACTAACAAGAAGAATTCATGATCTATTCTTCCTCCATCCATATAATTTAAACGCCAATGATGCAGATGTAAAGGAGAATTATAGTTCTTTATATCATCGGATAGATCAAGAGGAAATGAAAAATGGTTTGAAAAGGTATGTTAATAAAGCGCACATGAATTATGATTCATGTCCTATTTATATTTCAGGTTTTCACGATTAATCATGATCCGAATGAAACAAACTTTATTGTCTAATCGATTATTGTCATACTCACCGAATGAAATTGTACCAGCATGTAAGAGAAGAACTATTAAGCTATTTGTAGGTTAATTTCTACGATTTTGTTTTAGATGCCCAACCATGCAATAATGATCAGCCCAAAAAGCTAATCGAAGATTTCAGTTTAAAGACATGTCTATTGGCATTCGATATTGTATTCGAGGCTCCTGATGGCCTATATTATCCAACTGGTATAAGCTGTATCTCTCACGAGATAGTTGAATGTAAGCAGAATGAACAATCAAATGCTTGATCCATTCAAACAAGGAAAGCCATTTCTGCTTATTCTAGTACCAGCAGAGTGCAAAAAATGAACACAAACAAGCGATGAGACGGAAGAAAAAAGTAATAGTGTTGATATAATATCTGCGGCATCGCCCACAGACATTACATGTCCACGATGCCATAGTTGTTTGGAACTGTGCTTAGTAAATGGCGACCAACGGGAGATACGTACATTAACGATTGAGTCGAACAAGAAACGGCGCGTTCAATAAATGGAAATGCGATGTGAGATTAAAATCGATCCGTATGAACAAATTTCCTTTGCAGTTGGAGCAATTCATTAGTTCCTTACTGAAGGACCTTATCCGCTGAATTTATAAATGTTAAAGAAAAGTTTAACATTTATGAATTCAAATATGAGAATTGATTATTTTTTTCCGGATGCACTTAATCTAGAAAAATTTTCGGTATTGTATTGTTTTACTTTCCATCAAACACTATCTTCTTGTATTTCTTTCAATTATTTTTATTAATTTTACAACAGTTTTGGAATATTTAAAATAAAAGTTTATGCAATGAAAACGTTTATGTAATTAAATTTAAAAATAAAGATGAAACATCTCCATTCATTCAACATTCTGTTTCATCTTTATTTTTAAATTTAATTATCCAGTTACGATTTTGTGGATATGGATTTCGATGTTGTTGAATTTTGTGATATTTTAGAACAGCATTCAGTAATCCAATTGTTCACCCTTTTGCAATTTCGTACTCCAGTGTATTTTTATTTACCAATTTCTTTGCTCTTTTTGTTCTTTTTCTAGTTTTTGTTGTTCTTTGTTGTTGTGTCATTTGTTTTTTTTGTTCAATTTTTTTTAACTTTATTGCTGCTTTTTTATTTTCCTCATCAAACTCATTAGAGGAAACAATAATGTCAATGAAATCATCAAATTCATTTGTATTCGGCGGTGGATCTAGTTCCGTTTTTTCCTCCTCTCCGTCTTCTTCCACGTTAGTAGTACGCGCCGTTTCCGACTGTTCTGAACGAGGAGTACTTGGAGAAGGAGGAGTTTTATCAACTATTGTAGCGGAATATTCATTTGCTGTTAGAAATGTAAATTCAGTTGAAGATGGGGTAAGTTTTGGTACGAGTGGTGAATGATAAAATTCAAAAATGCGATCGAATATTTTGTATTTACTTGCTTCTTTGATGTGAATATCATTATCTTTTATATCATTCACTGTTATGCCAGATTGAATTAAAGTGAATTGTAATTCATCTGCTGAAGTCGATAACGATGCATTATATTCTTTTATGTTCATTTGGATATCTGAAATATTAGGATAGCGAGCTGTTATTCTTTTTGTTGTAATACAATCTACAACGGCTATGGATTCAATATTTGGATGATTTTGTTCTACCGTTTCTATCACTCTTTGTACATCTCTAATGACCTGTTCTGCTGGCATGTTTCTAACCTGATTTATTGCAACAAGAAATACGACGACGAGTGACTCATCTAATAATTCTTTCGTTGTTGCTAATTCAAGAAATTTTATAGTGGATAGGTAGTCCTGTTGCCCACCGCTCCACCGTCTCCCACTAAGAACATCCGGATGAAAATCGATGAGGATGAGAATCTTGGTCTGGTATAACTTTGCTGATTCCTGCGCCCAGACTATCTGATATAAACATAATTTTTGGAATCAATTGTGATTTCGGTTTCACTACTTTTGAAGGTGATCCTTTACTTTTCAATTGATTTTTATCATTTGATGTTGATCGTGATGGTGGTGCTTTATTCACCTCCTTCACATTACTAGCACTCGCCGTTGCTGACTGTTCAGAATACGAAGAAGTTCGATCCTTTTTAATGGCAGTGACGGTGGATTTCAGTCTTTTGGCATTATTATCATCTATTACTTCAACATTAGTTGCATGCGACCGTGAAGTCTGTGCAGAAGGTGAATAACCTGGTGAAAAATAATGACTTCTTAAATATGGTGATGATGAAGATGATGTTGACTGATGATCGTACTTTGATGATCAGGATTGATGATTGTATTTTAGGCTCCTTTGAGACCATTTAACATCAGATGTACGCGCCTGGTGAGACTGTTCAGAATGTGAATAATCTAAAGGTTGTTGTGAATATGCATTTGTTGAATAATTTGTATCAGCTGTTCGACGATGATATGGTTCATTATATGCTGCTATAGTTTCTAAACGACTGTCCGGACCAGAGTTCAGATAACTGCTAGTCATTTTTAATTATCATTGTTCTTTCGTGATTCTAGTCTTTTCGATACAATTAATAGACTAAAGAAAATAGATCGAACATGATGTGACAAATGATGCTAATCAGTTACTTATAATTCTTCTTTTATTGTTTCATTCTATATAATTTTTAATAATCGAGTAGAATGGGTCTCAAGTCAACGACATGTACTCGCATTTCTTCGCATTCAATTTGTGGCGTTGATAAATATTTTTCTGAGAGTTTATGTCCACGAACAAAGACTCTTATCAATACAACGTCGCCTTCCTGATAATGTGGATCTGAACGATTCTTATCATATCTTTGTTTATTCAATTCTTGTTGATGAATAATATGCTGTTTTGCATTTTTGTGATAAATATAAAAACGTTTTTTGTAGTTGAATGAAATAGTCGTTAGGTTTTTGAAATGGAAATTGAGTTGGACGTGGATCAATCGGTAACTTTGCTGGTCTTCCAATAATAATTCATATGGAGAATATTTTGTTGTTTTATGAATGCCAGAGTTATAAGCAAAAACAACTGCTTGTAGTTATTCGTCCCAATTATTATCTTCAGAATCTTGCAATTTGGCTAATTGTGGCACGAATGTAGCGTTGAATCTCTCAACTATTCCGTTGGTTTGTGGATGATATGGAGTTGAGTAGATGTGATTATATCCAATTAATTTTGATATGTTTTGCATCAACATATTTTGGAAATGTGGACCTTGATCACTCAGGATTACCAAAGATATTCCAAATTTACAGAAATAATCATTGAATAATGTTGACGCTGTTGTCTGTGCCGTGCAATCGGGAAGTGCTAATGCTGTTACATGTCTTGTGAAATGATCTGTTAGCACAAGTGCATATTGATTTTCACGAGGTGTGCGTTTAAAAGGACCGCAAAGGTCCGTACCGATCAACTGAAACAATCCGTCTGGTGGTGGAACTGGACGAAGACAACCAGAACATTTTTGACGATTGATATTGTGTACTTGACATTATAGACAAACTTGGACATGTAATGAGATGGAATTTTTCATGTTCGACCACCAAAAGTTATTTTTATTTTATCAAATGTTCTGTCAGTTGAAAAATGACCACCAGTCATTGAATCATTGCGAACTGCATAGAGTAATGGTTTGATCATTGATGTAGGTAGATATACAATTTGTGTTTTGGTTCCAGTATTGTGTATTCTATTCAATAATTTATATATAATTCCGTCTTTCATGGTGGAATCTGGGTGATTATTTAAATTTTGAATTATTTGTTGAATAGCTGGATCATGCTGTTGTTCAGTTTTTAAAATAGTAATATCAAAATGATTAGAAGAGAAGTTTTTTGGTATAATTTGTGGAATTGGTTCTTCTCCTTCATCATCAGATTCATTATCAAAATTTTCTACATTTTCTTCAGTCAGTTCGGAGTTAGTTTCACGCGCTGTTTTCAGCTGTAATGAACTTGAACCAGGATCCGAATTAAAATCATAGTTGTTTTCATTGTACTGAACATTTGTTCTTTTTCTCAGCGTCATGACTGCTACAGTTTTTTGATTCATTGGTCATGTTTCTTCCTTACTTTCAAGTCCATATTCGATATCATTTAATTTATCATCTTCTACTCCTGGATATCTGGATAAATAATCGGCCAGACAATTTTCACGACCTTTGATGTGTATAACTTGTTCAATGTCATACTCTTGGATTAAATTTGCAATTCTATCTACTCTTACATTTTTCACATTTTTATTCATCATTTCACAAAGTGGGCAATGGTCGGTCATTACAATTATTGGTCTGCCTAAGATAAATGATCTCATTCTTGTGAAACATTTGTAGATTGTCAGTGCTTCTTTTTCAATTGTTGTATATCTTTTTTCACAAGGTGTCATTAATCAAGAATGATAATACAAGTTATGTATTTGACCATTGATTTCTTGCTGTAATACACCACCTATTCCAGTTCCACTTGTATCTGTTGTTAAAATTAAAGGTTTATCATCAACAGGAAAGTGAAGAAATAGTGGTTCACTTATTAATAACTGTTTCAGTTCTTTAAATGTCTCTCGTTGTGGTCTTCTCCATTTAAATAAGTGTCTTTTAGTTTTTGGCAAATTAGTTCCGGCATGGATTGGGGCTGCGACGGTGGCAAAGTGTGGGATAAAGTTACGATACCAACCAGTTGCACCCATGAATTTGTTTGCTTGTGATAAAGTTTTGGGCTCTGGAATATCAAGAATCGCTTCAATTTTTTCATTTCTGGGAGTGATAGTGTTTTTAGTTATTGTATGACCAAGATAGTCTATTTTTTGAACAGCAATCAAACACTCTGTTTATCATTTAGTGTACTAAATACTTATTGTAAATGATTTAAATGTTCTTCAAATGTGTGTGAAAAGACGATTATATCATCCACATATACCAGAGAAAATGATCGACAATGTTTCAGTGTGCTGTTCATAACTTTTTGAAACGTTGGGGGAGAATTCTTTAGACCCATTGGTAAAACATTGAATTGACAAGTAACGTGCATCTGGGATTCACTGGCCCTTGCCTTAGAGTCCGTTTTCGACTAGCAGTTAGTCAAAAGACCTTATTCCCGAAACATGTTAAAAAATTTTCGAAACAAAAGCCCATCTTCAGCTTGAACCGATTCCTCGGGTATGAAATGGTCAGTCCAACGATAGCCGCACTTCTCGGCTTTTTAGACAAAAAAGTTTGAAATTTTTTCTTTGTCGCTAGTGCTCGGGGGCGCGCGTACGAAGATGTCGTTTGTCTACTACTGCGGTCGGACGGACGGACATTTCGTTTGTATGACCCAAGACTATCAGTCAAGGGAATAATGACCAAATGATTTGGTCATTATTCCCTTGACTGAAAGTCTCGAATCAAGTGAAATTCGTGTCAGCAAAGCAACAATTGTACATGTCAATTGTGACGAAGCCCAATGTCTCTTCGGTCAAGTGAAGAAGATAGTCAGCAATGTTCGTCGCTCACATCGTCAGCAGCAATTACCAATCAAGTTGCAGAGCTACAGCGAAACGAGATTCAACGGCGCGATGATCATGCTGGACGTTTTCCGTCAGGTGTTCGATCATCTGCCGGCTGCACTGTCA